ATGTATACTACGTGTAGTAATTCTATCCAAAAAGAGAATGAGGTTAATCAGACATGATTATGTATAAGTCCATGCTGACATAATTATTATATTTTTCTGTTTATTTAAAAACATCTTTTGGATAGTTCAGTCTACAATCTTGTCTGGGATCAATGCTATAATCTTTTCACTTATGGTTTGCAGATTTTACTATTTTAAAAAAATAAAATTTTTTAGTGGTAACCAGTTTTCTATAATTTCTAGCAGTTTTCCCATTTTTAATATATTTTGATTGATTTCAGAGAGGAAGGGAGAGGAAGAGAGAGATAGAAACATCAATGATGAGAGAGAATCATTGATTGGCTCCCTCCTGCATGCCCCCTTCTGGGGATCGAGCCCGAAACCTGGCCATGTGCCCTTGACTGGAATCAAACCTAGGACCCATTAGTCCTGCAGGCTGATGCACTGAGCCAAACTAGCTAGGGCAGCAGTTTTTCCATTTTTACATGAACCCTCAGATTTCATTCAATGGTTTATTGGGTTGACCTGCAAGTTTTATCAAAGTGCTGGAGTATAATTTGTTCAGGCCAGGAGTGGTGGATTCATTTAGAGCAGTCAGGTGCTTTCTCAAAATCTTTCTCTTCAGTTCCCTCTTGCAATGTTTATTTTACACTTTTTAATCTCAATATTATTCTTTTCAGTAGTAAAGACAGAAACATGTTATCCATTAATCATTACACCATGAATTTCAGCAATGGGACATTTCCTTCCTTGTTTTTGTCCCAAACTTCATTTTTTGGCAACAGCTTTATTGAGATACTAGAGGCCCAGTGCACAGATTCGTGCACTTGTGGGGTCTCTCAGCCTGACCTGTGGGGATCAGGCTGAAACTGGCTCTCCAACATCCCCCGAGGGGTCCCAGATTGCAAGAAGGCGGTTCTCGGGTGATGCACCCCAGAATTGGGCTCCCTCCTCTCTGGTTCCAGCTGCATCACCTGAGAACCGCAGCTGCCAGGTCACTGTAGCTCAGCAGCTCCTGTGTTGAATGTCTGCCCCCTGGTGGTCAGTGTGTGTCATAGCTACCAGTCGGAAGATCGCTTGGGTATATATATAATATATATAATATATATATATATCACCTATGATATAATTCACCTTCTTAAAGTGTACATTTCAAGAATTTTTAGTATATTCATAGAGTTGCATAGCCATCACCACTATATGATTTTAGAATATTTTTGTTGTCCTAAAAAGAAACCCTCTGACTGTAACTGTAAAAAAAAAAAAAAGAAAGAAATCCTGTGCACATTAGCAGTCACTCCCCAAACTATCTTCCTAGCCCTAACTAATCTATTTGTATAAATTTGTCTATTTTAGACATTTTGTATGAATGCAGTCATACAATATGTGGTCTTTTGTGACTGGTCTCTTTGACTTACATAATGTTTGTTTGTTTGTTTGTTTGTTTTTTAAAATCCTTACCGGGGAATATTTTCTCATTGATTTTTTTAGAGAGAGTGGAAGGGAGGGGGAGAGATGGAGAGAGAAACATCGATGTGAGAGAGAAGCATTGATTGGTTGCCTCCTACATGCACCCTAACCTGGGGCCAGTATTGAGCCTGAAACTGAGGTACATGCCCTTCACCAGAATTAACCCGGGATCCTTGAGTCTGTGGGCAGATGCTCTATCCACCGAGCCAAATCAGCTAGGGCAGCATACTGTTTTCCAGGTTCACCCATGTTGTATCATGTTATCAGTATTCTTTCCTTTTAATTGCTGAATAATATTCCATTGCATGAGTAAACCACATTTTATTCCTTCATCAATTGATGAACATTATGTTGTTTCTACTTTTTGTCTCTTATGAATAACACTGTTATGAACATTTGTATCTAAATATACCTAGGAGTAGAGCTGGGTTTATATCTAGAAGCTGAGTCATGTAGTATATGTTTAACTATTTGAGAAACTGACAAAGTGGCTACAAATATGATATTCCCACTAGCAATGTATGAGGGTTCAACCTTTTTCTCCACATCTTCATCAACACTTGCTATTGTCTATCTTTTTAATTATAGCCATCTTAATACTCGTGAAATAGCACCTCTTTGTGATTTTAATTTTTACTTTCCTGACATCATGTTGATCATCTTTTCAGGGGCTTATTAGTGATTAGTATTTTTTTTTAAATCCTCACCTGAGGATATTTTTTCCCACTGATTACTAGAAAGAGTGGAAGGGAAGGAGGAGGGAAAGCGAGGGAGAAACATCTGCAGGAGAGCAACACATCAATAGGTTGCCTCTCACATGCACCCCTACCAGGGTCGAGGAACCTGCAACCTAGGTACCTGTGCTTGACCAGGAATCGAACCCGAGACCCTTTGGTTCGAGGGCAATGCTCTAACTACTGAGCAAAACTGGCCAGGTCTGATTTGTGTATTTTTGGGAGAAATTTCTAAAACATTTGCCTATTTTAAAGTTAGGTTGTATTTTTATTATTGAGTTGTTGGAATTCCTTGTATATTCTATATACAAGTCCCTTATCAAATATATGGTTTACAAATATTTTCTCTCATTCTGTTAGGTTGCCTTTTCTTTCTTTTTTTTGAGGGTGTCCTTTGAAGCACAAAAGTTTTTAATTTTGAAGACCAATATATCTATTTTTTCTTTTGTTGCCTATGCTTTTGTTGTCATATCTAAGAAATAATTGCTTAATAAAAGAGCTCTCTTGATGTCATGTTACTTTTTAAAATTATCTTTCCCTTTCCTCCCATTAATCAGTTTCCTGTTAGAATACTGTAGGTGTTAAGAGTGAGATGTCAGACTGACTGAATTTGAGTTACTACTTGATAACTCTGTAACCACAGGAAAGTGACTTAACTTCTTTAAGCCTTGGTTTCTTTATCTATAAAATGGGGATAATACTGCTTATCTCAAAGGTTGTGGTGAGGATTAAAATGCTTAGTATAGAGCCTTACACATAGAAAGCAATCAATAATTGGTAGTTATTATTACTAAAAAAAATCTTCCTTGAGTTGAGTATTTTTGCTTAAGTAAAAATATTTTACTAGGTAGGTGTTTCTTGACTTTTTAACCACTGCATTAACTTGCTCATGGTAGAAGTTTAATGAATATCTGTTAAATTGATATGTAATATAGAGTGGCCCATTACGTTGAGAACTGGGGTGTGCTTGAGCTCGCTAAAGAAGTAAAAACAGAAGAGTCCTGGCCTGTGTGGCTCAGTTAGGTGGAGCATCATCCGTACCCCTACTTTATCCCATAGTAGGTTCCATTCCTGGTCAGGACACATGCCCAGGTTGTGGGTTCAATCCCAAGTTGGGGCATCTACGGATGTTTCTCTCTCTCTCTCTCCCCTCTCCCTCCCCCCCCTCCCTCCTTACCTCTCTCCTTCTCGCCCTCCTTCCATCCCTCTCTCCCTTCCCCCTTCCTCTCTCAAGTAAAATTTTAAAAAAGGAGGAGAAAAGAAAACTGAAAATAAATATTACTCACTTTATCATTTGGGCTTGATTAACCCTTGTAGAAAAAGAAGATGGGAAGATTATTTTTCCAGAGACATTTCAAAGGAAGATAGTGCTGAATATACAGAAGGCAGGGGACTAATTTAGAGAGAAAAATGGAAAAGTAAATCCCCACATGTTGGCTGGTGACATAGGCATTTTAGAAGAGATGCCAAAAGAGAAAAGTCCTATCGGGAGCAGCAGACTAATTTCGCATGGCTGTTCTCAGAACAACCTGAGATTTGTTCTTGACTGAGACAAGAGTCCTTTGTTCAAAAGCATTCCTTTATCACTTGGTGAGACTGTCATTAGTCCCCTCACCCTTATTACATAGATATGTGATTAGAAGCCGCAAAACACTCCCTATAACCTATAATAGGGATTTCTGACCCAGAAATTTACTGGTATTTTTATTTATTTATCTAATTTATTTATCTAATAATAAACAAAGTGATTACAGCCTACCTCCACTTAACAGTGTCTCGTCTTCTACTCTACACTATATTCTTAACCTCATATGAATACATGTCATATATTTAAATTACTCAAGCCAAGCAAATGATGTAATTTATGTTATCAATAAATATTCATAGAATGTATAAAAGTATGGTTAGATGAAATAAATGTTCTTCCTTCTGCTTCCTTCTTCCTCCAATTTTTGTCCAAATTTTACCAGTTCTTACAAATACTGCTCATATGCCAATCAGTATATATGATTTTGTGTGCAGATAATTTAAGTTTTTGGAATTCAAGCTGTTTTTCCTACTATATTATAAACTTCTGCAACTATGGGTCTGTATCTTGTCTTTGTATCGTCCATAACACAATCCTTTACACAAAGTTGATAAACGTAAGTATATTAAATGAATCATGTAATTTAATGATATAATGATATTTCTGGTGGGGATTTTTGGTATAGAATATTGAAGGTGTTAGTATTAAATAAATATGAGATATTAATAACCTCTTCTCTCCACAGCTTTTTCTTGGTATTACTAAAACTTTATTGATTGAGTGAATATCCAGTCCAGTGTATATTTCTCATCACAGGCCTCTATTTTTATTTATTTTTATTTTTTAATTGTTTTATTGCTTAAAGTCCAATGGTATTTATTTTTATTTTTTATTTTTTTAATTGTTTTATTGTCATCACAGGCTTCTGTATATAAAAAGGGGCAAGTTTTAAGCAAACCTCCCTTCCCTATTTTTCTCTCCCCTTTTCTGTTCCATTTCTTGCAGCTCTGTTTACCTTTTCACTATGACTCGTTCTTTCTACTTTTATTACTCCTGCCTCACCCGTTCTTACAATTTTAATGCTTTTTTAGAACTTTGTTTCCTTGTCACCTGCTTTTCCTATTTTTGTCTTTCTACTTGGCTTTCTCCTCCACTTGTTGCCACCTCTCCTTGCCCTCAAGGTACAGGGCAGGATTGGATAGGGAGGAGCCGAGCTGGGATAGGGGCGGAGCCACCTGTTCACCACTTGGGTATTCAGAACCTGACGCAGAAGGATCTGGCTGTTTAAGCATAGCTGGGGCTAAAGTCCCTATGGCATTCCTGCTGGAGGCTAGAATTCTGACAGACAATCTGGACTTGGTGAGATTAGTAGCTGTGGGGAAGCTCTCTTCTTTTTTGCTCCCCCTTTCTTCCTCCTTGTTCTGTATTTTTCACTCAAGTATCTCTCTCCATATTGTTTCTTTTTTCTATTTCTCTTTTGCTTAGTATTCTGTTTTCCTCTGTCTGTCTAGCTGTCACTCAACTCTATTTAGCATTTGTTTGCCTTTCTTTTTCCCCATTTTCCCCATATATCTGTCCTGTCTCACAATTTAACTTTTCCTACCTCTTCTCCATTTTATTCTTCCCTTTACTAATTTTCTCATTTAACTCTGTGTTTGTTTGTTTCCACTCAGTCACTTTCTACCTCTCTATTATCCTACTGTTTCCCTGAGTGTAGCAGTAAGGGAGGAAGAAAGAAGCCACCCTGCCTTTCCATGGTTCTAGTCAGACTTTCTACTCATTCTCAGATTTATAGTGTGTTTTGATTAGGTACTGAAAAAGAGTTTGTGCTCTGCACAGATAGTTAATAAACAGTGAAACTGGAATAAGGTTGAACATTAAATGTAAAAGGCTTCATTTTATTCTTATTTTCTCATTTTGTTTAGGTTTATTCTGCAATACAGTGGATACAATTTGTTATGGCTACTCTGAGGTACGTTTACATAATCTCATGTGATATGACTATTTAAACTAGTATAAGAAAAACTTGAGCCCTAACCGGCTTGGGTCAGTGGATAGAGCGTCGGCCTGCGGACTCAAGGGTCCCAGGTTCGATTCCGGTCAGGGGCATGTACCTTGGTTGTGGGCACAACCCCGGTGGGGAGTGTGCAGGAGGCAGCTGATCGATGTATATCTCTCATCGATGTTTCTAACTCTCTATCCCTCTCCCTTCCTCTCTGTAAAAAATCAATAAAATATATTTAAAAAAAAAAGAAAGAAAAACTTGAGAATTCTGAAAGTTTCTACATTTTCCACCCTGGGGATTTGCTTTTATTCTTTAGTTAGAGAGAAGTGTTGTTCTTTACCAAGTTGATATTTTCAGATTAATAAAATGTACCAATATCAACAACAATAAGACCAAAAAATACAGATTGAGGGCTAACTTCTGAAAATCAAAGGACAACTTGATCAATAGGATTTACTTAAAAAAATCAATAGTTTTGGTAGTACATATACTAAAAACTGGAATGAAATAGAGAAGATTGATGTGGGCCATGCACAAGGATGACACACAAATTCATGAAGCAGTCTATATATTTTTTTAAATATGTGCAGGTAATTTTACATCAGTTATATGTCAATAAAGCTGTAAAAATCAATAGCAAAAATGAAGGAACCCCAATTGTCCTGTTTTATTGATCTTTTATCTATGTTAGTATTATAGGTTCAAGTTCACTTATTGCTTATGCTGTATTCCAGAATATACAGAAATCTCCAGAGGTGAGCAATCTCTTTTTGTGTTGGATTTGAAATTTTAGTGACTTAGCTTTTGATATAATTAAGAGAGGTGTCACCTATAAATGATGGAATAATTCTATGAATCACTTATAAATTTGTCATGATCCGTTGAGATATTTTAGACAGTGTCAATAGGTCTCCCTTTTCTTCTAGGTAATTATTTTAATTATAACTTTGAACACAGAGATTGACTACTAAATATGGATTTTTTTTGTATGTATTATTAAGGTTAAGGAAACAGTGTAGTTTGGAACCTAGGTTCACTCTAAGTTTGGTAGGGTCCTGCTTAGAGGTGAGTTTTCTGATGTTAATATGTTGGTTAAGTTGCTAGAGGGGCTAGGAAATAGTTCAAAGACTTTGCTATACAAAATGTACTATTTTTGCTGTTCTGGCCTTCTATACAGTTACAATTTAACGGTGAAAACAGCAAAAATACATCCTATGTAAAACTATTCATACCAAAAAGTTCAAGGCAAGAACCTTCCTTTTATTGAGGTATAGTTGACAAATATTGTATGTATTTAAGGTGTAATAAAACAAAAAACCTTCCTGATTCAGAGAGGACTAAGAAGAGTAATGAATTTTCTAGCTCAGAAAAGATTTTATGAGAAATGTAACAACTGTTTCTTTAATGAGGCCAAATGGCACAAAACTAGGCAAAATGTAGTTTAGAACATATATGGGAGAACATATATGTGGAAAATGTCATTGGGTTTTGTGGGGCCCACTTTAATAACAAAAATAGTTCTGTATGTGGAACACCTTCTGTGTTCCAACTATGCTGAGTGCCTTATGGTCCTCATTACTCTTCTGTGAGAAGGATGGTGTAGCCCTATTTCACAGATGAGAAAATTGAGACCTTTAATTTCTCTGGCTTCAATTCTGACACCTTTCACATAACCAGAACCTAAAAGACCTTAGCAATCACTAGTTCAGTGGTTCCCACATATTCTGTTTTCTTGGCCTAGGAAAAATTCTAATTTTTCCAGGTTAAACATGTAAGCCATACTTGGCTGTTTTCCTTTATTTCTTCCAGCAAAAACACATGGAAGGCATATCTAAAAAAGACAAAGTAGTCTATTAAATTAAAAATAATTATAGTGCCTATCCGGTTTGGCTCAGTGGATAGAGCATCGGCCTGCAGACCAAAGGGTTCCAGGTTTGATTTTGGTCAAGGGCACGTACCTTGGTTGCAGGCTCCTCCCCTCCCCAGGCCCTGGTTGGGGAATGTGCAGAAGGCAACCAATCAATGATGTTTCTCTCTGTCTTTCCCTCTGTCTTCCACTCTCTCTAAAAGATTAGTGGAAAAATATCCTTGGTGAGGATTAACAATAACAGCAAAATAATTATAGTAAATTGGAAAAATCCATGGGAAATCTAGAGCGGGGACAAGCTGATTAGACAGTGACTCAGAGACAACCTGAAACAGGAAGAAAGTGTCCCAGGCCAGCCAATGTTAAAAAAATACTCAGGGCAGATATAGTTCACTGCATGGCGTGTGACTTAATTTCCTCATAAATTTGATACTTTGGATATTCTTTATTTTACTTGAATAGAAATATTGGGAAGCAGAGTTTTAGAAGAGTATTCGTATGAGTTGTTTTAGGTCTTTCACCTCAGCACGATAGACCTGGACCCAGACCGCGCTAGGGAAAGTCACACAGTGCTTTACCCCTACCCCATCCTCATTCTGCTTTTGCAGATGTGTGTGTGTTTGTGTATGCTTTAGAAAAGAGTCTTTGATTTTATATTTAGGATCATGTCTTATGCCTTTTAAAAATATTTATCTTTATTGTTGAAAGTATTACAGATGTCCCCCTTTTCCCCCCATTGACCCCTTCCCTCATCGCCACATGCCTTATGCCTTTTCTTCGTGTTTTCCTTATCAAGCACTGTGTTGATTATATTTCCCTAATACTGTACAATTTCTTTGTATTACCTTCAACATAGTATTTTACTAATAGGAGGGGTGAAATCTTTCTTGATCTCAATAATAGGTACTCAGTTAATTTTTGTTTAATTGATTGATTTTATCTCCTATTACTAGAACTAATGGTTTTCCAACCACGAGTGAAAATATGTAAACCCCTTCCTTTTCCCTGACAAAAACTTTAAGTATGCTTTAGTGGCTAACAGCTCCCTATATATAAGGTTATTTCTTGAATCAATGACCATAATTATGTTCTTGTTTATAAAAGCCACTTGCTGCCTCTCTCCTCCAGAGTTTATTTTATATTGTTTTAATTTTTTACCCATTAACAGTTATAAACTTGTGGTAGGTCATAGGCCACTTTCATCTATGAATGTGCTATCTGCCTGTAATTTTAGCAGGCTTACCCAGAGCGTATGCTATATGCGGTGAAAATAATACTATCTGATGTTTATTAAATACAGTTTAAAATGTTATTAAGTCACTTGTTTTTGTTCAAGGCAACTTAACCATTTACCCCTGTTAGCAAGTACTAGCATCTTAACTTTCTTCTCATTTGGAAGATAGGCATGAGAAAATTTCCTTTTGTACAGGTGAGATTAGTTTGTTGTTGTTTTGTTTTTTTAAATATATTTTATTGATTTTTTACAGAGAGGAAGGGAGAGGGCTAGAGAGTTAGAAACATCCATGAGAGAGAAACATCCATCAGCTGCCTCCTGCACACCCCCTACTGGGGATGTGTCCGCAACCAAGGTACTTGCCCTTGACTGGAATCGAACCTGGGACTCTTCAGTCCACAGGCCGACGCTCTATCCACTGAGCCAAACTGGTCAGGGCTGTTGTTTTTTAATCCTCACCCAAGGATATTTTCCCATTAATCTTTTAGAGAGAGTGGAAGAGAGAGGGAAAGACAGAGAGAAACATCAATTTGAGAGAAACACACCGATTGGTTGCCTCCTGCAGGAGCCCCGACTAGGGTCCGGGCCAGGGAGGAGCCTGCAACCAAGGTACGCGCCCTTGACCAGAACCATGGGACCCTTTGGTCTACAGGCTGATGCTCTATCCACTGAGCAAAACCAGCTAGGGCGAGATTAGTTTTTATATTAGGTAGTATCTGATGATAACTTAAATATTTTTAAATTTACGTTTTCTTGTGAGATATATAAGGCATGGATTAGAGTGCATAAAACATACATGTACTGCTCAAAGAATGATTATAAATAAACACTAGGGACAAGTAATAGAAATTGCCTGTACTCCTAAGCCAGTGATGGCGAACCTATGACATGCGTGTCAGAGGTGACACACGAACTCATTTTTTTGGTTGATTTTTCTTTGTTAAATGGCATTTAGATATATAAAATAAATATAAAAAATACACATCTTTGTTTTACTATGGTTGCAAATATCAAAAAATTTCTATATGTGACACGGCACCAGAGTTAAGTTAGGGTTTTTCAAAATACTGACACGCTGAGCTCAAAAGGTTCACCATCACTGCCCTACGCATACCTGTTTGTGTTCTTCCCAATTACAACTCTCTCCCTCACCTCTAGAGGTAACCACTACCCAGATTTTTGTGATAATTATTTCTTTCTTTTTATGAACAATTTTACCAGTAATATATGCATCTCTAAACAACTTAGTTTTGATTGTTTTTGCATTTGACATAGGTATTTTTTGTATGTATTGTTTTGTGATTTGCTTTTTTTTTTTTTTTTTAAATATATTTTATTGATTTTTTACAGAGAGGAAGGGAGAGAGATAGAGAGTTAGAAACATTGATGAGAGAGAAACATCGATCAGCCGCCTCCTGCACATCTCCTACTGGGGATGTGCCCGCAACCCAGGTACATGCCCTTGACCGGAATCGAACCTGGGACCCTTCAGTCCGCAGGCCGACGCTCTATCCACTGAGCCAAACCGGTTTCGGCATGTGATTTGCTTTTTCTCCTTAATATTATTTGTGCCACTTATCCATGTTGTTTTATATATCTCTGGTTCATTTCATTTTCATTAATGTTTAGCATTCTATATTATGAATATACTACAATTTATCAATCTGTGCTGCTATTAACAGTCTTGTACATGTCTTCAGGTGCACACATGCAAAAATTTCTCTAATGTCTTTTTCTAATAACAGAATTGTTATAGAATATGCATATATAGAATAGGACCTAGATAATGCTAAACTTTTCCAAATGGTTGTATGTAATTTTTTTTCCTCATTATGCTTTTAATTTTCATTTCCTTGATTATTGGTGTGGTCAGGTATATTTTCATGTGTTTATGGCCATTTGGATTTCCTCTCTTCTTAAGTACCTGTTCAAATCTTTTGTCCATTTTTTTCAGTTGGGTTTCCTTATTGCTTTGTAAGTTCTCTGTTTGTTTTTAATATTGTTTGGATATTGGTCCTTTGTCAGTTATATTTGTTGCAAATATCTTCTCCCACTTTGTGGCATGTCTTTATACTTCATGGTGTATTTTAACACATGCTTTTTTTTTTTCATTTTAATGGGGTCAAATTTTCCAATTACTTCATTTTGAGCTTTTTGTGTTTTGTTTAGGAAAACTCTCCATAACCAGAAGTCGAAGACAATTTGATCTTTTAAACTAGTTGAAACTGATTTTTGAGTGTGAGATAAAAACCATGGGACCCTTTGGTCTACAGGCTGATGCTCTGTCCACTTTTATTCAATAGATACCTGATTTTACTTTTATCTAATAGATATCCAATTGTTATAGTATCATATTTTGAGAAGACTATCTTTTTTTCCATTGATCTAAAAAGCCACCTCTACCATATGTCAAAAGTCTGTATACATGCTTGGGGTTGTTTGGGGCTCTCTATTCTGTTTCATTGGTCTGTTTGTTCATCCCTGTGCTTAGGACCACAGTATCTGTGCTCTAGCTTTACATTAAGTTTTGATATGTGTAGGACAAGTCCTTCTCCTTTTTCTTTGAGTGTCTTGCTTGTTTTTCTTCAAGAGTTTACCTTGATATTTTGTATCTGTCAGTTAGATTTAGAGCCAGCTTGTTAAATTTCACAAGAAAATATGTTGAGATGTCATTGAGATTGCATTTAACCTATATATCAATTTAGGGAGAACTGACATTTCTATAACATTGGGTCTTATAATCCATGAGCATGGTATATTTTTTCACTATAGATCTTCCTTTGGTATCTCTCAATAAATATTTTATAGTTTTCTCTTTAGGAGGACCAAAACTGTTTTTAGAAAAGTGGGAGTAGGGAGATAAAAAAGAGAGGAGGATACTAGAAAGTGAGAAAGGCAAACTTCACCAATGTGGTTAGAAATTCATAGTCAACATATACAATTTATTCTGATATTTTCATTGATATGGAAACTTATAAGATAAACTAGAGGCCCGGTGCACGGATTTGTGATTCTATGTTTACTTTGGTTCTATGTTTGAGGAAGGAGTGTCTATGAGGAACAAGGGCCAATGCTAATCCATAAGTACTCTGATTCCGGGACAGTTAGGATAGTTGTGATAACAGATTCCCTCCTACCTGGTGTATTCCTTTACATTCCTCACAGTCAGCCAGTGGGACAGGCTCCAGAAAAACGATGCCCAGTTTCTACTAAAAAGGTAAAACATAAAAATAATTCCTTGTTAACATCATTTATGAAATGAGGCTTTTGTTGCTTTGACAGATGAGGCCACTCTTTTATCTGAGCTTCTCTGACCTCCTCCTGGGGATATGCTGGCTCATTGAAGCACTTCTCTATGGAACTTCAGCAGCCAATAAGGACATTGTCTGCTATAACCTGCAAGCAGTAGGACAGGTGAGTACTGCTAGATTGTGACTGTACATTACAAGAAAGGCACACTCAGATAAATAGGAAGCAAAAAAAATAATACAATCTGGGAAGTGGGACCCTTTTGTTTATTGTCACACTTTGACACAATAGCTTTTATTGTTTTTCATAGTAAAAAAATTACTTGTTTATTATAGAAAATTTGAAAAATCCAGAGAAGCAAAAAGATAATTAAAATCACCCAGATAGTCCGGCTGGAGTGGCTCAGTTGGTTGAGCGTCATCCCGTGCACTGAGAGTTTGCCGGTTCCATTCCCACTCAGGGCACATCCCTGGGTTGTGGCTTTGATCCCCAGCTGGGGAGCCTATGGAAGATAACTGATCCATGTTTCGCTCTCTTTCTCTCTTTCTCACTCTCTCACTCTCTCTCTCCATCCCTCTTTCTCTTCCCACCCTTCCTCCCCCCCTTCCTGTCTCTAAGCATGTCCTCCAGTTAGGATTAAAAAAATAATATTTTTTGCCAAAACCGGTTTGGCTCAGTGGATAGAGCGTCGGCCTGGGGACTGAAAGGTCCCAGGTTCGATTCCGGTCAAGGGCATGTACCTGGGTTGCGGGCACATCCCCAGTAGATGTGCAGGAGGCAGCTGTTTCTAACTCTCTAACTCTCTATCTCTCTCCCTTCCTCTCTGTAAAAAATCAATAAAATATATTTTAAAAAAAATAATATTTTTAAAAGAAATTGCACAACTTTAAAAAAATGTATTTTTATTGATTTCAGAGAGGAAGGGAAAGGTAGAGAGAGAAACATCAATGATGAGACAGAATTATTATTTTATATTTTTATTGATTTCAGAGAGGAAGGGGGAGGGAGAGAGAGATAGAAACATCAATGATGAGAGAGAATCATTGATTGGCTGCCTCCTGCACGCCCCCTACTGGGGATCGAGCCCGCATCCAGGGCATGTGCCCTTGACCAGAATTGTAGGCTGACATTCTCTCTGCTGAGCCAAAATGGCTAGGGCGTGAGAGAGAATTATTGATTGGCTGCCTCCTGCATGCCCCTGATCAGGAATCAAACCGTGACCTCCTGGTTCATGGGTGGAAGCTCAGCCACTAAGTCATACCAGTCGGGCATGGGCTCCATGCTGTAAATATCTGTGTGTAACTTTTGTGTGCATATAAGTTTTTAAATTGTTTAAGGGAAAGGCATGATTTCTGGATTCTATGATAAACTTCTGTTTAGGTTTGTAAAAAACTGCCGAACTATCTTCCAAAATGTCTGTAGTCATGCTTCTTATAATGGTGTTTGGGCAATAAAGGACTGCATATATGACGTTGTTCCCTACGATTATAATGGAGCTGAAATATTCCTATTGCTTAGTGACATCGTAGTTCATGATTTCAAAGGATTTTTCAAGAATAGGAGGTTGTTGAGATCAGCAAGGCTATGGCCCAGATGGCTAACAACTTTAACCTGGGTGTGGGTGAGGATGACATTGAGGAGCTCCTGGAGGTGGCTTCTAAGGAATTGACTAATGAGTTGTTGGAAGTGGAACAGGAACGCATAGCTGAAGGAGAGTCAAGAGAAAAGTAACTGTAAGAGAAAGAAAAGAAGACTCCTCCCAAGAAAATTCACATGAAGGGGTTAGCAGAAGCTTTTGCAGACCTCAACAAGCTCCTTAAGAGTTTGAAAACATAGACCTCAACACTGAAAGGTTTTTATTAATACCGAGGAATATTCATGGTACATTATCTGTTTACAAGCAAATCTATAATGAAAAAAAGAAACCTAGCAAACCACCGTGGATGTATATATGAAAAGAATGACACCTCCTCAAGAAGAGCCTCAGACAGCTCCTTCAGTGTTCCAGAAGAAGGCATTGTTGTCCTGGGAGAGGACAGCTTCATGAATGGCCCTGAAGACCTTCAGTGGGACACGATGTGGAGGTGGAAGGCAGTGATGTTGATGATCCTGACCCTGTGTAGGCCTAGGCTAATGTATTTATTTGTGTCTTAAATGTTTAAAACATTAAAAAATAAAACCATTAACAATAGAAAACACTTTATAGAATGAGAATATAAAGAAAGAAAAGGGTTTGTACAGCTTTACAATGTGTTTGTTTTAAGCTGTTATACAAAGAGTCAAAAAGTTAAGAAAAATTTTGAAGTTTATAAAGTAAAATGTACAGTAAGCTAAGTTTAGTTTATTGAAGAAAGAAAATATTTTTTATAAATTTAGTGTAACGTAAGTGGTAAAGTATTTATAAAGTAGTGTACAGTAATGTCATAATCCTCCACATTCATTCACCACTCACTCACTGACTCATCCAGAGCAACTTCCAGTCCTGCAAGCTCCATTCATGATAAATGGCCTATGCAGGTACACCGTTTTTTTAAAATCTTCTATATTTTTACTGCATCTTTTTAATGTTTAGATACACAAATACTTATCATTGTGTTATAGTTGCCTGCACGATTCAGTACAGTCACATGCTGTACACATTAGGGGTAATAGCTATACCATATAGCCTAGGTGTGTAGGAGGCTAGACCAGTGGTCAGCAAACTCATTAGTCAACAGAGCCAAATATCAATAGTACAGTGATTGAGATTTCTTTTGAGAGCCAAATTTTTTAAACTTAAACTATATAGGTAGGTACATTGTTATTAACTTAATTAGGGTACTCCTAAGCTGGCCTTTGCTAAAAACGTCCTCAATCTGATTGAGGTACGTTCGCTGAGGTCAACCCCTTCCAACTCTCCCATCCACACTCGTCTTGTATACTTGTTTTGTCTATCTCCTTTCGTTCATGCTCTCTATATGTCCAAACCATCTCAACATACCTTTCTCAGTCCTCGACACTACATCTTTCACTCCACAATGTTCCCTAAAATTAACTTAATAAACTTTACTTAAAGTTTTAAGTCTTAGTTAAACTATAGGTACGTTGAATAAAACTTGACATCATACTTAATAAAGATATTATTTATTGATAAAATTAAATTCCTTACAATTTACCTTACAATATCCTTAAAATTAAATCATGACAATGACTGACAATCACTAATGTGAACGATGGCCTTGCATCTCCTTGGAAAGCTTGGGTAAATCAGGTTTGTATGTTGTTGTTTTTAATTTTAGGCACAATTCCAGGTTCTCATCAATAAGACAACTTCTCAATTTACTCTTGATAAGGTTCATGCTTGAAAATGATGGTTTGCATAAATATGTAGACCCGAATAAGGAAAGAACAGCAAACACTAGTTTTTTTAGTTGATTATATGAGTCAGGAATACTATTCCAGGTGTTAAAAATCAACATATCTTCCTTCTCCAGGTCTTTCAAAGCAGACCACTTGTGCTGTGAACTAAGTTCACATTTGTTTTTCTCCAATATTTCTATATCAGCACAAAGACGTTCAAATTTCGAGCTCCAGAGTTCTTTGTTTTTTAAATCCAGCAATTGCATTTCAAAGTTGCCAATGTCAATATTAAAGGGAGAAAAATTTAATTCTGTTACAGTAGCATTGAGAGGTTTGTTAACAAAGGCTAACGTCGCTTTGCTGTTTCTGAATTCCTGGAACCTGTTGAGAAAAGCTTCCCTTATATTTAAAATACCGCACGTGGTATTTTGTGGAAGAGCTACACTAAAGGGGCCAAAGAGCCGCATGTGGCTCGCGAGCCGCGGTTTGCCGACTACTGGGCTAGACCATCTGGGTTTGTGTAAGTGCACTCTATGTTTGCACAATGGTGAGATTGCCTAATGACACATTTCTCAAAACATATTCCCATTATTAAGCGACACATGACTGTATACAATTTGCAATCTCACCAGTTTGCAATAAATAACAGTCACTGTTGCTTTGCATCCTCACCAGCAATTGGTGTCAGTGCTTTAGATTCTAATAAGGATATAGTGGTATCTTGTTGTTTTAATTTGCAGTTCCCTAATAACTTAAGATGTTGAACATCATTTTATTATGCTCATTTGCTGTCTGTATTATATTAAAATTTGATATGTATAAATTATAAAACTAATATATATTCTCAATAAACAGGTAAAAAGTAAAGAGGGATATACAATTGAAAAGTAAAAGTTCACCTCACTTCTTTTACCTCTCACTTTCATAATTTGATCAGTTTAGATTAAATGTCTCTGCTTTTCAAAATTCTCCTCTAACTGGTTCTTGAAAAAAGCAGGGCATTCCTTGTTTGCACAAGCAGATGAAGAAGTTCTAGATTTTCCAAGCATCATAGTTAAGAAAGAGAACCAGTCACCTGGTCTAAACAAGATATCCAAGTTTCTGAATCTAGATTTTCAGTTTCATTCTTTGAGCAGGAAGACCCTTTTTGAAAAAAACCTTTTTGAAAACTGGTGCTGAGATTGTTAGAAAATAGTAATTATTAATAATTTCAACTGAAGCAGAATGAAACAAAAATGGGCTTAAGCAGTAGTAGGAAAGAATTTAATTTGGTAAGAAACCTTGAGGATTGCTAGGAATAAGTCATCATGGTCTCTTTGTTGTTTCCCTATCAGATATGTCTATAATTTTTATCTGTGTGAAATGACAATTGATACTAAAAAAAACTAGGCAAAGTGCTAGTATAATCTCAGAATAAAAGGTGGTTTCTTTTTTTTTAAAATATATTTTATTGATTTTTTACAGAGAGGAATGGAGAGAGATAGAGTTAGAAACATCGATGAGAGAGAAACATCGATCAGCTGCCTCCTGCACATCTCCCACTGGGGATGTGCCCGCAACCCAGGTACATGCCCTTGACCGGAATCGAACCTGGGACCTTTCAGTCCCCAGGCCGACGCTCTATCCACTGAGCCAAACCGGTTTCGGCAAAATGTGGTTTCTTTTTAAAATATATATATATATATATATATATATATATATATATATATATATATATATATATATTATTGATTTTTTACAGA